ATCAAGAAGATATACAAATTGTGAATAATCCAATTATCAGTTAATGAGATTGACAATATAGTTAAAAACTTACCAACAAAGAAAAGCCTCAGTCCTGATGGAATCAATTCTGAATTCAACAAGAAATTTAGAAAAGATTTAATGCAAACACTCTTCAAACTCTTAATGAAATTGAATTGGAAGCAGTACTCCCTATCTCATTCCTGGAGGCAAGTATTACCCTAATACCAAAAGCAGAGAGACTCACCCAAAAAAGAGAACTGCAGGCCAATCTCCCTAATGAACTTAGATGCAAAAATCCTCAATAAGATATGAGCAAACAGAATGCAGCATATCGTGAAGAAGATCACACACTATTATCCTAGGAATGCAGGGATGGTTCCACATACACAAGATCAACAGAGCCGAAGACAAAAATCACACGATCATCTCAACAGATGCAGAAAAAGCTTTTGATAAAGTCTAACACTTACTCATGATAAAAACTCTACAGAAAATTGGAATAGATGGTCTTTATCTGAACCTCATAAAATCCATCTATGAAAAACCAACAGCCAACATCATACTAACAGGACAAAAACTGAAAGGTTTTACTCTAAAATCAGCAACAAGACAAGGATGTCCACTATCACCACTCCTATTCAACACAGTTCTGGAAACATTAGCCAGAGAAATTAGACATGAGAGAGAAACAAAAGGAATATGATTAGGAATGGAAGAAGTTAAATTATCATTACTCGCAGATGATATAATACTCTACATAGAAGACAACAAAAACTCCACCCAAAGACGTCTAGATTAAAATAACCAAATTCAGTAGCATAGGTGAAGACAACGTCAATACACAAAAATTCCTGTACAGAAACAACAAACTCACTGAGAAACCACACTCTTCACGATAGTATTCAAAAAAGTAAAATACATAGGAATCAATCTAACAAAGGAAGTAAAAGACCTCTACACTGAAAACCATAATACTCTGAAAAAGGAGATATCAGAAAATGGAAAGATATCCCTTGTTCATGGACAGGAATAACCAATGTAGTGAAAACTGCCATACTCCCGAAAATGTTATGCAGATATAATGCAATCCCAATCAATGCTACACCATTAGCATACCTCACAGAATGAGAGAAAACCTTCCTAAAATTCATTGGAACCAGAAGAGACCTAGTATAGCAAAAGCAATTCTGGGCAACAAAGGCAAGGTAGGAGGCATTACAATCTCTCACTTGAAATTATGCTACAAAGCTACTGTGACAAAATCAGCATGGTACTGGCAAAATATAGACTGAAGGATCAATGGAACAGATAAGTAGATGCATATACAAGTACAAACACACTCTGTCACTTTATCTTTGAGAAAGTGGCCAAATATGTTCACTGGAAGAAAGACAGCCTCTTTAATAAATGGTGCTGGAAAAACTGGCTTTCTATAAGAAAAAAGACTGAAACTAGACCCATGTCTATCTCCACGCACTAAACTAAATCAAAATGGATCAAAGCTCTAAATATTAAAACAGAAATACTGAATCTACTGACAGTAAAATTAGGTAGAAGTCTTGAAGACACAGGCATAGGCAGGGGATTCATGAACAAAACCCAAACTGCATGAGAAATATTTCAAAGGATCAACAACTGGGACCTCATCTTTTTAAAAAGCTTTTACACACCAAAAGAAATCACCAATAGAGTAAAAAGACAAATCACAGAGTGGCAAAGAATTTTAGCCAATTGTCCCTCAGAGAAGGGACTCCTATCTAGAACATATAAAGAAGTGAAAAAATTCAGACCTTCCAAATTCAAAGACACAATCCAAAAGTGGGCATTTCAGATGCATATGCACTTCTCAGATGGGGAAATACAAACGGCAAATAAATACATGAAAAAATATTTAACATCATTGGTCATTAGAGAGATACAAATTAAAACACCGAGTTTCCATCTCCCTCCAGAATGAATGGGTATTTTCAAGATATCAACCGATAACAAATGCTAGTGGGACTGTGGGCATAATGTAATCTTTCTCCACTGTCAATGTGAGTGCAGACTAATGCACCCACTGTGGAAATCAGTGTGGAGATTCCTCAAAAAAGCTAGGATTAGAGGTCCCATTTGACCCAGCTATTCCTCTTCTGGGTATCTTCTCAGAAGATTTAAAAACATTACAGCACAGCAATATATGTGCACCAATGTTTATAACAGCATAATTTGTAACAGCTGAATCCTAGAAATAACCTAAATGCCCATCAACTGAGGAATGGACAAAAAAGATGTGGAATTTTTATACATTGGACTACTACTCAGCTATAAAGAAGCATATTCTTGAGATTTTTACAGGTAAATGGGTGCAACTTTAGACCATACTAATTACTGAAACAGGTATAGTCTAAGGTTGGAACAGATGGTTACCTCAACCTGATAAAAGCCATGTATGAAAAACCAACAGCCAGCATCACAGTAAGCAGACAAAAACTGAAAGCTTTCACTTTAAAATCAGGAATAAGACAAGGATGTCCACCATCAACACTCCTACTCAACACAGTGCTGGAAACATTAGCCAGAGCAATTAGACAAGAGAGAGACACAAAAGGAATAAGGTCAGGAATGGAACGTGAGTCTGCCAAATAACTCACATGTGTCAACGTCTCATTTCTCTGCAGTATGAGAAGCTCAAAGAGTAAATAAAGTCGAAATGTACAATAGATATTGTGAAATGGAAAGAAATTGTTAAAAAAGTAAAAGGAAGTAGGGAGGAGAAAATAAGGAAGGGAAAAGAGAGAAAACAATGCAAGTCAGTTGTACTATTAGTGTCTCAGCTCACAGAAAAGAAAGGTTTTCGCTTATATTGATTGGAGAATATTTTACGCCAGTATCTTTTACTCTGAGTAACTACTTTAAATATAATAATATGCAATGTATTAACTATTGTTATTCTATCATCTTGTTATAAATTTTGTTTTACCTTTTTTCTACAAATTAAAAAAATATTTATTTGGTCAAAGAATAAGAACACAGAATGGAAAGATCTAGTATTATTCATTTTTCCTAAAATTCAAAAAAGTACGTACTTTTAAAGAGAAATACTCTAAATCTATACTTTAAATATTTAATTAACTTTTACTAGAAGACGTATCTTTTGTATTACTCAAAGTGAAGAATTAGTAAATGGGTCAAGAAAAAAGGCCCCCTAGCCATTTACTTGTTGATACTTAAGTAAGTGGAAAATCAACTGAGCTACAAATAAGGACCATGGAAACTATCCAGGTCCCTGAATAAAGGATAGAAGGCAAAGCTATCACCCTGGACAAGTTTTGGTATGTAACCTCTTATCTTGGATACAATACTTGCAAACATAATTATAATATTGAT